CCCGAGGATGCATCCACACCATTCGCCATTCCTCGCACCTCCAGCCTAGCTCGGGCCAAGCGGCCATCAGTCTCCTTTGCTGAAGGCACCAAGTTTGCACCGCCGAGTCGCCAAAGTTCAAGGGAACTCTCCAGCCCACTTCGAAAGCCCAAGAGGCTTTCCCGGGGAGCCCAGACAGGCCCTGAGGGCCAGGAGGCTGAGGATTCCACAGGCCCAGAGCAAGCAGAAATGGATGAGGCCCCTCCTGCTGCTGCCAGCCCCAAGGATTCAGCCACTGGTCGGCGGTGGCTTCCTCCCGGTGGTCGGACAGTGGCTGAGCGTGTGGAAGCCATTGAAGGCAGTGTCCAAGACAGCTCAGGCCCTGTGACTACAATCTACATGTTGGCAGGGACACCCCAGGGATCTGAGGGCCCAGTCCGGTCTGTCCTTCGCCATTTTGGTAGCTTCCAGAAAGTCCAGGCAGAGCCCAAGGTCAAGAGTGCCATCCCTAAGCCTCCACGCAGGGCCCTGAGTCGAAATAAGGGCAGCCCTGGCCTGGCGTCTGGTTCTTCTGGCCAGAGCCTCAACTCAGCCCTAAGTACTGAGCTCTCTGGACCCATGGAGTCAACAGGAGTTAGACCAGAGGAGGTGGCCAAGGGGCTGGGGGCTGACATTGAGAGCTCAGGGAGGGCCCAGGAACTGGTCACTGGGGGCAGCCCCCTCAAACAGGATTCCCAGAAGCAGGCAGAAGAGGAAGAGCAGGAGGAGCCCCAATATGAGAATGTTGTACCCATCTCTGGGCCACCAGAGCCTCAAGGACCTTGAATTTGGGGAGTGGGAAGACTAAGAATGGGACAAGAGGGGAACTAACTGCTGATGGATCAGATTGTGCCTGTGCTGGAAAATGATCGCAAGGCCAGAACAGACATACCAGAGCCTCTGCCCTTCCACAGGGAAAGGGCAAGGGTTGGAGGCCAGCTGGCTCTGGGCCCTGGCAGTGCTCCAGGAGTGGGTCTGGGAGGCCTGGGCAGAGACCCTGCAGGATGGGGTCAGGAAGGGGGAAGAGATGGTTACAGGGACTTTTCCTCTGTTGTATTGGACTCTGTTAGCCCCAGAGGATTATTCTTTCTTCCATTTGCAAAACATTTTGGGAAACAACCTAAATGTTTGATGATAAAAGATTGGTTAAACAAATGTTTCCTATGATATATTACTATACATGTTATGCAAGAACATTTAATGTGGGAAATATGGGAGAATGTTCATGCCATGAGGTTAAGT